TTTTTTTGCAGTTTTTGGCTGGGGCTGGGTTTGAACCTGCCACCTCTGGTATATGGGGCCAGCACCCTACTCCTTTGAGCCACAGGCATCGCCCTATTTTTAAAATCTTAGTATAAGACTTGAGTATTTTGGTTAATAATAATTAAAATATGTCAAACATACAGTATCTTAGGGACTTTAGAAATAAAGGAGTATTAATAATAGCTTCCTTGTTTCAGGTATTGTGCCTAGACACCTTTTTTTTTAAAGACAGAGTCTCACTCTGTTGCCCCATGCTAGAATGTTGTGGTGTCACATAGTTCGAAGGAACTTCAAACTTTTGGGCTCAAGCAGTCCTATTGCCTCAGCCTCCCAAGTTGGTGAGACTACAGGTGCTCACCACAACACCCAGCTAGTTTTTCTATTTTTAGTAGAGGTGGTGTCTTGCTCAGGCTGGTCTTGAACTCCTGAGCTCAAGCAATACATCACCCTGGCCTCTCAGAGTGCTAGGATTATAGTCAAAAGCCACCATACCCCACTCTAGGTGCCTTTCTTTTTATATCATTATTAATCCTTCTTAATCCTATAGGATAAGTATTATTTCTCATGTTTTTCAGTGCAGGACTCAGCAAAGTTACACAACTAGAACGTGAACTCTGTGACCCAGAAGCATGTCTATATTGTGCTGCCATCTAGTCTCTTTTAATTTTCCATAACATAAGGAGGCTGAGTCTAGTGAGGCCAAAGGGCTTGTTCATCATCACATAGCTAAATGGCAGAATGAGGACTTAGATCTCTGGACTCCTGACTCACATTCCTGGGCTCTTTTCACTACAGCAGGACACCTTGGCTCTTGAGCCCTAAGTGACAGCCCCAAACAGCTGTGTTTATCTGTTTTGCATGTCCCAGCTTGTTTTGCTAGCCAAGCAAAAACTACTTAAAAGGATCCTCAATCTTCACCTTCCCACTCCCCTTCACTTATACTCATATACTCCTACTTGCCTCAAGAATAACTTCACAGAAAGAATTGTGCAATGTCAGTAAGCCTTCCTTTGGTGTCAGAGTTACTCCCTGAGAGAACATTCACTTCCTCATGACTCCAGTTTACTGTCAGATTGGTTTTCTCTCTCTTCTCTTTGATCGGAATCTTAGTTGTTTAGGCAGGAATTTGAGGAGCAGATGTTATGGCCCTTGAACAAGCCCTTTAATTCTCCTTAGTACTGTGTCTAATGACTCTTAATCCTGTCCTTTTAACTCTGTGGCTAGCAGATTTAAGAGTGAAGTGGGACAGGAATGGTGAGCTTGGTACTGAACATTTTATTTTAATGTTGGCAAAGTGGACTGCAGAGAGCACATGAAAAATAATGAAATAGAGGAAAACATTGAAAGTATTCTCACAGGAGAAAAGCAAAGTGAATAATAGTGTGAGGTCATTGAGATTTTGGGTTACCCTCCAAATGTAAACAGAGCAATTTGATAGAGCAGTTAGTTGGTCAGAGAAATGGAGTGCCTAACTGTTTGTACTATCTCCTTATTAAATTTTGCTGTTTTTTTTAAGCTTTTCATTTCCCTTTAAAAACAAAAATGAAACAACAGAAAAAAAACAAAGTAGTCACTAAATAGTAGTTGATCTTTCATGATTACTGAAGAAAATTTTAACACTTTCCCCAAATGGGAGTACTGTTAACAAAGATACATCCTGTCAATGAACTAGTTCGTTCCATTCATACTTTAGGGACTTTGGTTTAGCAGTCCAAACTTTCTAATTATCAAAGATCTGATGTGTTTTATATATAAAAGAACAAGATGGACTAAACAGCCTGTAATTTTCTCAGTTCTTGAGTATTTCCCTGAAATTTGATCTGTCAGGCAAGATCTGATTAGGATAGAGAAATAATACGTAATTTGAGTAGGGAAATCTTGTTTGTTTGTTTGTTTGGCAGGGGGCAAAATCTTGCTTTGTTGTTGTCCTGGCTAAAAAGAGCAGTGGCATCATCATAGCTCACTGCAACCTTAAATTCTTGGGTTCAAGTGACCCTCCTGCCTCAACCTCCTGCATACCTGGGACTACAGGTGTATGCCACCACACCTGACTAATTTTTTTTTCTATTTTAATAGAGACTGGGTCTTACTCTTTTTCTTAAATTCCTGACCTCAAGTGATCCTCCTGCTTTGGCCTCCCAGAGTGCTTAGCCACTGACTGTGCCTGACTAAGCAGGGAAATTTTAACGTAAAGAATTGCTAACACTAACAATGGTTTGAAATAATGAGGTATTAGCTATTAAAAAATAAAAAGGACTGTAAAGAAAGTATGAATAGCAGATCGTAGGAGCATCCACTATCCCTGAGGTTGAGATAGGCTATTCAAGGAAGAGGTCTCTGAGATTGAGATCCAGATCTTGTTTGAGAGGGCATGGCTTTGGCTCATTGAATGAAGAGATTACTGCGGTGCTACATGACTTGCCAGAAACCTCTCTCACCAAAGTCACTGTGCTGCAGTACTGACTCAGGGAGGTGCTGGGAGAAGCTCCAGGGTGCTGCTATTGCCGTGCATTTCAGGAGCCTGACAGTGGAGAAACACTTTTAATGTTTCCCTTTGTTTCACTGTTTTCATGTGCTTTCTGTAGTCTACTTTGCCGGCTGCTGGAGCTGAACGGGAACCTGCCAAGAGGAGCACACAAAATACTAGAAGAAAAACCTCTTCCTCCTGCAATGTCTTTCCAGCATCCTTTACTGAGAAAATCTAACATGCTAACTGGTCAAGGAAAAATACATAAAGGGCCCAAGTCCATTTTTGCAGAGCAAGTAGCAAAGGGTAAATTTGGAGCCAGGAGACAAATGGACAACTAGCACATTTGGTTAAACATGTAATTTTATATCTTATAGACAAACTTAAATGCCAGTTGATAAGAATCGTATGTCTGTCCACATGCATCTTCCTCACATCACCTATCTCAATCTCCTGATCTTTTATAGGGTTTATCTCTCATTTTCTGGAGAACTTGTATTTCACCAGTATATGTGAAGTATCTTGCTCAATTGAGTTGGTTAAGATGATATCATTTAGACCATGGAATTTCTTTTCCATTGTTTAGATCAGGGGTCCTCAAAGTTTTTAAACAAGGGCCCAGTTCACTGTCCCTCAGACAGTTGGAGGGCAAGACTGTGGGCCCCGGGATGAGGCAGCTGCTAAGCAGGACAGGCAGCAGTGGCAAAAACACCCGGCGGGCCGGATAAATGTCCTAGGCAGGCAGTCTGTATGTGGCCCACAGGCCGTAGTTTGAGGATGCCTGGTTTAGATGGTCCAGATCCTTTGGAACTGTATTAAAACTTAAGGGTAGGAAAATTAATGCAGTCATGGTTCAGTCACATATGATGCTGTTGATTGCAATGTGACTATCAACTGCTTTTTGGTCCTCCTCATTAATAATAAGGGAGAAAAATATACTTTACCAGGTCAGTGACTGCATACTACTTACGTGAGAGAAACTAATAACTCTGTCTTTATTTGCTGCCACAGAGAGACTCCCTGGCTTTCACACTATAGTCTTTAGTTGGTGATTTATCACTTTCAGTTTTTCATTGTTTTTTTTTTTTTTTTCTCTTTGGCATTGGCTGCTCCTAGCAACAGATATCTAATTCCTAGTCCTTTTAATTACTTCTCTATACCTCATAAATGCCTGAAATACTGCACCTGCTGTGCCTTCTCTTGTACCAACAGGTTTTAGCAATTATGATTGCACTGTTGCAGCATATTAGGGACTGTGTACTAGCTATGATGGGGGTCTTCATTGATAGGCAGAGTGGTAGCATTTATATGGCTTCAAAATCCCATCTGGAGTTGACTTCATAGGACCACTTTTGGTATCAATCTTCCCACATCAGATTTCCCAAAAGCACACTTTGAAATTTTAAGAGTTGCATATAGGAAGTTTACTGGGGAGTGCTTCTGGGATCAACTCCTGTGAGAAAGGTTACAAGAAAAACAACATTAGGAAGATGGAGAAATTGAATTGGTATATAGTTGCAAAGCAGTAGGTGATCCCACAAAGAGATCTAAAGCTGAAATAACCCTCCCAGAATACTCTGGATTGTAGTGCAGGGCTAACCATTTTATTACACATTAAGCAGTTGTTGAATTTGTGGTCTTTGGGATGGTATGACCTTGGGTGAGGCAGTTGCAACTTGGAAAATTCCTGAGAGTTCAGCTATTAGCCATTAGCAGGCAAAATTCTGGAAGCTGGGAGAATGATTGCTTCAGTTCTGAAGGGGGAGATCTGGCTGGTACACCACAGCATTCACTACAGCCACAGTGGCAAGATCAGTTTTAGTGCCATGGTGAGGATAGAAGTACTATAGTGCTAGAGAATTAAAGAAGATGAGGAGGATTGAAAACTTATTCAAACAGCTTACCTGTGAAGGGTAAGAGATAGAGGATAGTCAGTAGAAGTTCTTGAGGAGACTGGGAGAGATGGTATCTGGAGTATAGGTAGTATGATTTGCCTGGGGCAGGAAGAGGTTCGTTGCTACCATTGCAACTGAAGAGGAGAAGAAAGAGAGGAGTTCAGGTACAAATAAGTTTGTACCGTTAACCAGAGAAAGTTGAGGCAATTATTTGTTTTTTCTGGGAAAGAGCTAAAAGATTGAACAGTTGAAAGAAGGAGAGATGGTTGGGTTGAAGGTATAAGATAAGTAAAGAAGGTTATAATAGATTTCAGTGATGGTGGGGAGAGAAGGCCAACAGAATACCCAATAGGTGCTTCGAGCCTATTTGAGGTTGATGTTCCTAACTTTGTAGAATTATCAATTGGTGCACTTCTATAACATTTTTTTCCTGGAAGTTCTTAATATAGTAAAAGTGTCGACATTATGCTCAATACCTTACCAGACAATTTCCTTTTTTTTTTTGTATAGCCATCAGATCAAGTCATTACAGTATAGTAACACAGGAGACATGATTCTTGTTGTATCTGGAAGCTCTCAGGCCAAGGTGATTGACAGAGATGGTTTTGAAGTAATGGAATGTATAAAAGGAGATCAGTATATTGTGGACATGGCCAACACCAAGGTAAGCTTTAACAGAACACTTTAATGAATTTAATTAATTCACACATTTATTCATAAATTCTGTTTTGTTTGCCATGTAGTAATTGATCCCAAAAGATAGTGTCTTAAAATAGTAGCAGTTTATTTTTTTATAATTGCATGGATTTATGAGGAGATTATTCTGCTTTGTATATATTATTAGCTGGGTTACAAGGATGGTTGTATGATCCAAAATAGGCTCAGATGGTTTATAGTTAGCATTCTAGATCATGGCATCTCTCTCTCTCCTCACTTCTTTCCTACTTCTAACCTCCACCCCTACTCCTTCTTCTCTTTCTCTTGTTCTTTCTTGCTGCATGTCTACTTTGGTCTTTTTCAGTGCGTAGTAGTCTTAGTGGGATGTAATTTCTTGATTGTTAGTTCCATGGAAGATAGACATGGAAAGTGTTGATATCTTAACATCTGGCTTTAGGTCTTATACAGCATCATAGGGGCAGCTAAATTTGGGGAGGGGAAGGTAGACTTCACCATTTAATGGGGGAATGGCAAGTTCAAATTGTAAAACCTCACATGGGATGGGAGATACCAATTCAGCTATCTTTGGAAACACAATCTACCCAGCTACTATGTGCTAGTCTTTAGGACAAGAAGCAAAGAGAGAGCTGGGTGCAGTGGTATGCACATGTAGTCTCAGCTCCTTTGGGGATTGAGGCAGAAGGATTGTTTGAGCCCAGGAGTTCAAGGGCATAGTGTGCTAGGATCATGCCTGTGAATAGCTACTTCCCTCTATCCTGGACAACATATAATGACACCTCATCTGTAAGAAAAAAGAAAAAAAAGAAGGAAAGAGTCTCATCAATTTTTTAAAAAAATTTATTTATTTTTTTCTGGTTAAAACTTTATTAAGATATAATTCACAAATTCACATAACCACAAAGATCACTTTTAAAGTGTACAATTCAGTGGTTTTGGGTAGAATAGCTCCTTATTATTAATATTTATGAAATCTGTATTTGTGAATTTGCCCGCTTGCTAGTTTATTTGTAACCCCTCCCCCAAGTCAATGTACATGACACTTTCCCAGGAATTTGTAAGAGTATTCAAGTGGCTAAATATTTGAGTTGCTGAATATTCATATTTTCAGTGGCGGGTGAACAAGACAGTGCTCTGCCTTCTTGTAGTAGCCAGATGTCCTTTGTGTGGTCTATTTAGTGCTGTGTTTTTCACATTTTTTGTGCTTTCTGCTGGTGATTTAACTTTTTAAAAACGTTTTTTCTCTATACGTATACATGTGGTTATTTGGTTTCCACATTTTTTTTCTTTTTTTTTTTTTTTGGTTTCTACTTTTTGCCTTCACAAAATTAAAAGGGCTTAAAATTTAAGAACAATAATGATGTTTAAGATAAGGACTAGAAACAAAAACCTCATAAAGAATGAACAAAAAGGGGCGGCGCCTGTGGGTTGAAAGGGTAGGGTGCTGGCCTCATATGCTGGAGGTAGTGGGTCCAAACCTAGCCCCAGCCAAAAACTGAAAAAGAAAAAAAAAAAAGAATGAACGAAGATAAATACATTCAGAAAAGAAATCAGACGATTGCTGCAATGATGTATTGAGCAATAATAATAATAATGCAAAAAAAGTAATATTCACATTGACAGATAAGAGTATGTCTGTCATAGAATGCTTTGACTCTGAGGTTCAGTATGGAGTCATCAGTTAACTTCTTCCTATTTTTTTTTTTCCAAAGTCTCAAAAAATAGACAACTAATATTTATAAATAAAAATAGAAGATAATTTCAAAAACCAGATCATGCCAAATCTTATAGACAATAGAAAAAGAAGAAATACTTCAAAATCATTCTACTTCATCTGGATACACCTGATATTAAAATTGGAAAACATATGTTATTATAAAGGGGAATTAAAAACATATTTCACTTACAAATGAGGATGCAATATCTTAAACAACATATTAACAAGTTGAATTAAAAATTAATGTTCAGGTAATATACTTTGGTCAAAATTAAATCCAATTTATGTGAGAATTAGTCACTATTTTCTTTTCTTTGTTTTCTTTGTTTTCCTTTCCCTCACCCCCTCCCTCCTTCTCTCTCTGTGTGCTCTCCCCTCCCCCCCGTGCCCCACCATGTCGTTAATTGTCCTCATATCAAAATTGAATACATAGGATTCATACTTCTCCATTCCTGTGAATTTTCCCTAAGAATAATGTGTTCCACCTCCATCCGGGTTAATAAAAATGCTGCAAACTGCATTTTTTTAATGGCTGAATAGTATTCCAAGTATACCACAGCTTGCCAATCCATTCCTGGGTTGAGGGACATTTAGGCTGTTTGCACATTTTAGCGATTGTCAATTGAGCTGCGATAAACAGTCTAGTACAAGTGTCTTTATAATAAAAGTTTTTTTTTCCTTCTGGATAGATGCCCAGCAATGGGATTGCAGGATCAAATGGGAAGTCTAGGTTGAGTTCTTTGAAGTTTCTCCATACTGCCTTCCAAAAGGATTGTATTGTTTGCAGTCCCACCAGCAGTATAAAAGTGTTCCTTTTTCTCCACATTTGCGCCAGCATCTGCAGTTTTGAGATTTTGTGATATGGGTCATTCTCACTGGGGTTAGGTGATATCTCAGGGTGGTTTTAATTTGCATTTCTCTAATAATTAGGGATGATGAGCACTTTTTCATGTGTTTGCTAGCTATTCATCTGTCTTCTTTAGAAAAAGTTTCTATTCATCTCTCTTCCTCACTGATGTGTGGGATTGTTGGCTTTTTTCGTGTGGATTTTGTATAGATCCTAGTTATTAAGCTTTTGTCTGATTCAAAATATGCAAATACCCTTTCCCATTGGGTAGATTGTCTATTTGCTTTGGTTGTTGTCTCCTTAGCTGTAGAGGATTAATTAAATCCCTTTTGTTTATTATTTCTGTTGTTGCTATTGCCATGACAGCCTTCTTCATAAAGTTTTTCCACAGGCCGATATCTTCCAGTGTTTTTCCTCTTCTTTCTTTGAGGATTTTTATCATTTCATGCCTTAAATTTAAGTCCTTTATCTATCTTGAATCAATTTTTATGATTGGAGAAAGGTGTGGGTCCAGTTTCAATCTTTTACATGTGGATATCTAGTTCTCCCAGCAGATTTATTGAGTAGGGAGTCTTTACCCCAGTGTACATTCTTGTATTGTTTATTGAAGATTAGGTGGTTGGAAGTCGTTGGTTTCTTTTTTTTATTTTTATTTTTATTTTTGTTTTTTTAGGAGACAGAGTCTCACTTTGTTGCCCTTGGTAGAGTGCCATGGTGTCACAGCTCACAGCCACCTCCAGCTCTTGGGCTAAGTGATTCTCTTGCCTCAGCTTCCCAAGTAGCTGGGACTACAGGTGGCCACCACAACGCTTGGCTATTTTTTTTTGCTGCAGTTTGGCCAGGGCTGGATTTGAGCCCGCCATCCTTGGTATATGGGGCTGGTACCCTACTCACTGAGTCACAGACGCAGCCCAAGTCGTTAGTTTCGTTTCCAGGTTTTCTGTTCGATTCCAAATGTCTATGTCTCTATTTTTATGCCAGTACCATGCTGTCTTGACCACTGTGTCCTTGAAGTACAGCCTAAAATCTGGTATGCTGATGCCCCCAGCTTTCTTTTCATTACTAAGAACTGCCTTAGCTATATGGTTTTTTTTCTGGTTCCATGCAGAACGCAGAATCATTTTTTTTTAGACCTTTCTCTGGATGACCTAATTATCTGGTATTTTACTTTTTTTCTTTTGAATTTATTTTTCTTACACATGAGTATATTAGGTTTCCACTTTTGCCTTCACAGAATTCAAAAGGCTAAATTTAATGACAATAACAATGTTTAACATAAGGACTGAGAACAAAAACCTCATAAAGAATGAGTGAAGATAAATACATTCAGAAAAGAAATCAGGCAATTGCTGCAATGAAATATTAAGCAATAATAATAGTAATAATGCAAAGAAAGTAACATTCACATTGTCTGATAGAAGTATGTCTATTATAGAATACTTTGATCAGTAAACTGCTTCTTATTTGTTTTTTCCAAAGTCTCAAAACAATAGACAACTAATATTTATAAATAAAAGTAAAAGATAATTTCAAAAAAACAGATCATGCCAAATCTTATAGATAATAGAAAAAAATACTTCAAAATCATTCTATTTAATCTGAATACACCTGATATTAAAATTGGAGAAAATATATTATTATAAAGGGGAGATTACAAACATTTTATTTATAAATGAGGCTGCAATATGATAAACAACATATTAACATGTTGAATTAAAAATTAATGTTTAAATGATGTACTTTGGTCAAAATTAAATACAGTTTATATGCAAATTAGCAACTATTTACTTTCCTTTTTTTTTTCCTTGCCCACACCACCTCCTTCTCTCTCTATCTGGTCTCCCCTTCCCCCATGCCCGACCATGTCATTAATTGTCATTAATTGTCTTCATATCAAAGTTGAATACACAGGATTCTTACTTCATTCCTGTGATGCTTCACTAAGAATACTATGTTCCACCTCCATCCAGGTTAGTACAAATGCTGTAAAATCTCCATTATTTTTGATGGCTGAATAATATTCCATGGTATACATATACCACAGTTCACCAATCCATTCCTGGATTGAAGGTCATTTAGGCTATTTCCACATTTTAGCGATTGTAAATTGGGCTGTGATAAACGGCCTAGTACAAGTGTCTTTATAATAAAATATTTTTTTTTCCTTCTGGATAGATGCCCAGTAATGGGATTGCAGGATCAAATGGGAGGTCTAGGTTGAGTTCTTTAAGGTTTCTCCATACTTCCTTCCAAAAAGGTTGTATTAATTTGCTGTCTCACCAGCAGTGTAAAAACATTCCTTTCTCTTCACATCCTCACCAGCATCTGCAGTTTTGAGATTTTGTGATATGGGCCATTCTTGCTGGGGTTAGATGATATCTCAAGGTAGTTTTAATTTGCATTTCTCTAATAGTTAAGGGTGATG